ATTTCAAAAAAATAATATTATTTTATTCCTAGACGCTAGATGCTCAACAGTTGCAAATTGGAAGTGGTTTTACACTGTACTCCATGTTTGTGAAACTGAAACCATCCAATGGTAAATTTACGGTGAGCATCTAAGTAAATTAATCAATTTGAAAGTGAAGTGTTGTATTACAGGCAGAAGTTCTCAAAACTTCATCAGGTTTCCTGCTTGTGTCACGAATTTCGAGATGGGGACACTATAATAAGGAAGGGAACTGTGCTCCCGAATCGCTACGTCCTTTTTGTCAGTGTTGGCACAAATAATTACGTAGAGCTTAAGAATTGCATGTATCTCAAATGTTTCATGTTATCAATTAATGAACTTATCTCAACTTCTGATAATGATGCAGCAATTAATTGTTTATGACGGTTGTTCATTGCGTGGAAGTGGTTTTTGGTTATGTAAAACAATCTTTCAAATACATTTTCTGTCTCAATTTGATTCAAACATAATAAAACAAAATATATACTAATTTTCTGGTGATAAGCTGCACCCTGGAAAGTCCATCAGTGCAAAGTGCAGCGCGTACATGCTTCATCTCATCGCACTAATCCTTAAAGGTATCTCCATATTTCATAAGGATCGGCCGGAGTATGCGCAACGATTGCATTAGCGCATTTGTTGACTTTAATTTATTTTCTTCCTTTAGTCTGCGTTAAATTTTCAAAATCTGGCAGCGAGTGCGCCAGAGAGGTGCATACTAAACTCCAATGGTATTTGTAGCGACGTCGCAACGCGACAACGTCGCACCCGCAATCGGCCGATCCTCGTTGCGCTTATACGCGCTATAGGGATCAACCGATCCCTACAAAGTATGGAGATTCCCTCGGATGTGCACACCACATTCATTTGAGCCGCGCTGCGTTGCGTGCGCTGCGTACGATTAGATTGGTCCTGCCGCCCCACGCGCTAGTCTTGTGCTCGATCGAGCTTTCAGTAAACGGTTAATACAGGGATTTAGGGCAGTATTTTGGAAAAGTCGAGGTAAAAATTTGCTTTTGAATCCACACTCTATGATAAATATGTCTAAGCTTTGGAAATGAAAGGAGCTTAAGCTACTGCGTAAATAAGCGACTTAAATCTCGCACGTGCTGCTACAAAACTCTATGTTTTGCACCCTCATTTCAAGCCCACACTATTGAAGAGCATAGTTGTAAGATTAGATTTCCTTCTTTCTAGAGTTGATGTTCAGAGTGGAGTACACCAAGTGCACGATTAACTTTATACGACTACAGCCATATACAATTGCTCTCATGAATATTTCATCGAAGAATTACGTCCGTTTTCTAATTATTCACAAAAAAAACTTAGTGAACGCGTACGTGAATTGCTGCGTACCACCCCCAAAACCTCCTGCCTTGGTCTTTTTTGTCCACATTAGACGCTTAACTATTGAGTCATTGCATTTTATAAGTTTTTTTTTGCATGTTCATAAAAAAGTG